GTATGATGGTACATCAGACCCACGAGATCATGTTACTGCATTCACAACAGGTGTCAAGGGCAATGATTTGACTAAGCAAGAAATTGAGTCGGTCTTGGTTAAAAAATTCGGAGAAACACTCACTAAAGGAGCCTTAACATGGTATTCTCTTTTACCTGAAAATTCTATAAATTCGTTTGCTGAGCTTGCAGATTTATTTATCAAAGCACACTCGGGAGCTCAAAAAGTTGAAAAACGAATGGAAGATATCTTCAAAATCAAGCAAGGAGACTCAGAGTTGCTTAGAGAGTTCGTAGATAGATTTCAACGGGAAAGAATGACGCTGCCACGAGTACCTGATAATTGGGCAGCCATAGCCTTTGCTAGTAATTTGAATGAGAAGAGTTCAGAAGCCACGAGGCGACTCAAGGAAAGCCTTCGAGAATTCCCAGCAACAACGTGGAATGATGTCTACAACAGATACAGCACAAAGATGAGGATTGAAGAAGACATTATTTTACGACATAAAACAGAAGAAAAGGTAAGCTCAAGGCGTGTGGAAAACGAAAAGAGATCCGGTAAAAACAGGTACGAGCCATACATGGGTCCTGCGGGAAAGGACTCACGGTCAAGACAAGATAATCAAAGGTACGATCACAAACCTAGGAACAGGGAATCAGGCTCCTCATCAAGGTTCGGGAATGATCGAAACACACGCGAGTCACGAGATGATTATGGAAGTCTAAAGGCAAGGTTCGGTGGTTACAACTTTAACGTAAGTACCTATGAACTCGTGGCTATTTTAAGAAGCATGGGAGATAAGGTACGATGGCCAAAGGAAATGCGATCAAACCCAAACAGACGAAACCCTGATCATTGGTGCGAATTTCATAACGATCATGGGCATAAAACAGCAGATTGCAGGTTTCTACAAGGTGAAGTTGATCATTTGTTAAAACAAGGGTATCTTACTGAGTTGTTCAGTGAGAAAGGTAAACAAGCATACATGAAGAACAGACAGGAGCCTCCAAAACCACCTTCGCCCAAGAGAACTGTTAACGTTATAAGTGGAGGTGAAGAGATCAATGATGTATCATATAAAAAGGTTTCAAAAGTGACAATTACTCACGGGAAGCGGCCTCGACATGTACTGGAAGAGGAGAATGTTATATTCAACAACGCAGATGCCGAGGGACTCATAACTCCGCATAACGACGCACTGGTAATATCTTTACTTGTACATGATACTAACGTGAAACGAGTTTTGGTTGATCCAGGTAGTTCTGTAAACATTGTTTTAATACGGGTATTGCGCGAGATGCAAGCGGAGGATAAATTAATCCCAAAGGCGCATACTTTGTCGGGATTTGATAACTCTAGTGTTGTAACAAAAGGGGAGGCAATACTTGCCACATTCGCAGAAGGCGTCGTTAAGGATACCAAATTTCAAGTGGTAGATATGGAAATGGCTTATAATATGATTCTTGGGAGGCCATCGATTCATGACATAGAAGCTGTTCCTTCAACTTTACATCAAGTTATTAAATTCCCATCTCCATGGGGTATATGCCAAATCAGAGGCGATCAACAAACATCTAGAAGCATCAATTCCGTTGCAGATTCAACCGTTAAAGGTGAAGACAAATAGCAATAACAGAATTTAGGTGAGGGTAACATGGAAACAACCTCACCTGAGCAAAAGCAAACAGATCTGGATTCAAGACCTGATACCATTCAAGAACCGGAGGAGAATGAGAACATCAAAACAACGATAGAAGAGCTAGAGGCTGTGGTGTTATTTATACATTGGCCCGAGAGAAAAGTGTACATAGGAGCTAATCTTAGCCCGGAGGTAAAACGTAAGTTAATTGAATTTTTAAAAGCTAATGCAGACTTTTTTGCTTGGTCCCATACAGACATGACAGGTATACCACCGGAGGTGATGACTCATAAACTAAATGAAGATCCATCATATCCTCCCGTCAAGCAAAAGAAAAGAAAACAAGGAACTTTCAAAAATAAGGTGATTCAAGAGGAAGTTCAAAAGTTGCTAAAAATCGGTTCAATTCGTGAGGTAAAATATCCCAACTGGTTAGCTAATACTGTTGTGGTTCCTAAGAAGAACGGTAAGTGGCGAGTCTGTGTAGATTACACAGACCTTAATAAAGCCTGTCCAAAAGATTCCTTTCCTTTACCCCACATAGATCAGTTAATTGATGCTACTGCAGGGCATGAACTATTATGTTTTTTAGATGCATATTCAGGCTATAATCAAATCAAGATGGATCCAGGTGATGAGGAAAAAACTTCTTTTATAACAGACAGGGGGACTTATTGTTACAAGGTAATGCCCTTCGGTCTTAAGAATGCAGGTGCAACGTATCAAAGGTTGGTCACCCAAATGTTTCAAGAACATTTAGGTAAAACATGGAAGTATATATAGATGATATACTAGTTAAAACTCAGCATTCAGAAGATCATATATCGCATTTATCTGAAAATGTTTAAAATTTTACGAAAATATAATATGAAGTTGAATCCAGAAAAATGTGCATTTGGTGTGGCATCAGGAAAATTTTTAGGTTTACTTTCAATGTCATCCCATTGTTGTAGTGACTCATACCCCCTACGTAATATATTGCATAAACATGAATTGTCAGGGAGGTTAGCTAAATGGGCCATAGAGCTAAGTGAATATGAAATCACGTACTTACCTAGAACAGCAATAAAATCACAGATATTAGCTGATTTCGTCGCTGACTTTAGCCAAGGGATGCAATTATTAGAAGCAGAAAAAGAAGTACAAGTACTTAATGGTGCTAATCCAGGAACATGGATCTTATTTACTGATGGCTCATCTAATGTAAAGAGTGCAGGATTAGGAATTGTTTTAGTACCACCTTCAGGTGAAACTATTAGGCAAGCCATTAAATGTCATTCCGTAACTAACAATGAAGCGGAGTATGAAGCTGTGATTGCAGGTTTAGAATTGGCACGAGAACTTGGTATAAATCAAGTAGTGATCAAAAGTGACTCGCAGCTCGTGGTTAATCAAATGCTAGGGACCTATACAGCTAGGGAAGCAAGGATGCAGCAGTACTTAGAAAAGGTATGGGAACTGATAAAGCAATTCCAAACTTGGAAGGTCATACAGATATCGAGGGATGAAAATGTTGAAGCAGATGCCTTAGCTAATCTCGCATCCGCAGCTGATGTGGCAAAGGATGCAAATGCTGCAATTATAAATTTATTTCACTCTGTTCTCGATCCAGATAAGAATGAGGTAAATTTTAATAATTTAACTTGGGATTGGAGAAACAAAAGTGTTGCTTTTTTACAGTATGGTACCATCCCTAGTGACAAAAAGCAAGCACATGCACTTCGCAAAAAAGCTACTCGTTACTGTTTAAAACAAGGGAATCTTTATCGTAAGATGTTCGGTGGTCCATTAGCAAGATGCCTCGGACCTTCTCAAACGGAATATGTAATGAGGGAAATACATGAGGGGCACTGCGGGAATCACGTAGGAGGAAGATCATTGGTTAGAACTTTGATTAGAGCAGGATATTATTGGCCTAAAATGGAAGAAGAAGCAGAAAGTTTTGTAGCTAAATGTGATAAATGTCAAAGGTACGG